TAATATTATTGCAATTTTACTCCACAGTCCGCAAATCGTGAAAATTTAAAAAAAAAACTAATAAAAATTGAATTTTTTTAAAATTAAAGGAAATTGTTAAATCGTGAAAAAATAGTGATAAATCGAATAAAAAAAAAACCGATTAAAAGAAATAAAGTTCGATACATAGCTCAAAATTTGTTCACATCAATAACTTACTATAATAATATAATATTAATTATTATATTATACGATGGCTTTACGAAATCGAATCCGTATTACAGCCCAACCAAGGAGTATTTTGTACGAAACTATTATTACATACGTATAATATTATATTGTATAAATGTTTATAATAAAATTGGGACACGGACGATAAAGCTATAAGGTTAGGTCCGTGGGATTAAAATACACTTAAAACGATTAAGTATCGATGGCTAAGAGGCCAAAAGGTGTATGTCCAATTTTTCTCAAAATCGTTTTATTAGTCCATAGGGTTTATCTGGGTCGTTCTTTTTGATTCGGTAAAACATTACAAGTCAATATCATAATTAAAACATGTTTTATTTATACTTTAATTTTTGTGTTTTTAGTGAAATATAGGTTTTTTCAGTGCACACATATAACAAGTCCTAATTTAATGAGACATAGATAAATATTTTAACATAATCTAAATATTAAATGGACAAATATAACAAGTCCGGACTTGTTACTTGTGTCAAAAACAATTCATTAAATTTTGGACTTGTAATGTTTGGCTGTATGTAAACTGCGGCAAAATTAACCTTTTTCTAAAAGTTGATATGTAAACTGCGGCAAAAAAAAATTTTACATTATACAAACTGTGACAAAACTGATAGGATACATTATACAAACTGCGGCAATTTGTTTTATATACCTTCTATATACCTATACTATATTATAGTACCTAAATCATATATACGTATTACGTATATCATTTAATTAATTAGGTATGTGATGTTGCGTCTTGCGCAGATATTGGTAAGGTAAATCCAAATGTATTTTTAAGTTTTAACGAAGCATATCGGTAATATCGGTTCCTTCACTTTTGATAATACTAGTTAGTATCTACTTACAAGTGCTAAATGTTAGTAGAGTTAAAAGTTTAATATTTATTCAACGTGATGGAATTTACAACAATGTTTAGTCAGAATGTCTTCCGTTCCTTGAACCTCATGAAGTCGAAGATTCGTTTGTTTTTGATTTAATTGCAGATATGCCATCTAATAATCAAATAGTACAATTTTGCGATTATTTAACAGAAACTTATATACAAGACATATTCCCTCCTTCTTTGTGGGCTTCAGAAATCAGAAGTTATAACAAATAATGTATGTGAATCTTTCCATTCAAAATTTAACGCATATTTTTATCACCATCATCCATCACTATATAAATTTATAGATGCTCTACAAGATATTCAAGTTGACACATATATAAAAATTAAAAGTGCAGAAAAAGGGGTAATACAAAAAAGAAATAAAGCGACAACGCAAAAATACAAATTTATTAACGAACAGAGGCAAATGAAAGAAGATGGACGAATTTCAAGATATGAATTTTTGAAAAAAGTATGTTTTAAGAATAAACGACAAAATGTTAATTAGGTACCTACCTATTGTATTATTATTTTATTTAAAAAAAATGTTTTTTTTTGATTTTACGATCACTATACGATCTTAATAATTTTTAGTAATAATAATTGGTTTTTGATTATACGTACATTACGATCTCTTAAAATAATTTTTAATAATAATAATATTTTCAAATTTAAAATGGTTTTTCCTTTATTTTTCTCCTAATACTCTATGAGTGTCTAGAAGTTCTATTGAGTATAATATTATAGGTAATGTTCATGTTACAAGATAGGGTACAAACTACAAACGTTATCGATCATGAAGTTAAGCCACGGATAAAATACGAATTATAGCTGTCATAATACGTATTATACCTAATTAAACGATAAACGTATAATATTTAGGTTATCGTATCGATATTTATAAAGGTAGTACATATAGAAGGTTATACCTTATATAAAACAAATTGCCGCAGTTTGTATAATGTATCTTATCGGTTTTGTCGCAGTTTGTATAATGTAAAATTTTTTTTTGCCGCAGTTTACATATCAACTTTTAGAAAAAGGTTAATTTTGCCGCAGTTTACCATCTCCCTAATGTTTTAGATAATATTAAATTTATTTATCTATTGATAAAAAATGAATATTTCCTGACGTACCTATTGTTTTAAATAATAAACATTTTTAATTTTAAATTACACTAAACAATATGATATCTTCAATTAGCATAAAATATCATTAAACACGGGTTTAATTTTACTAAAAATTTGACTTTATCTATTGATAAAAAATGAATATTTCCTGACGTACCTATTGTTTTAAATAATAAACATTTTTAATTTTAAATTACACTAAACAATATGATATCTTCAATTAGCATAAAATATCATTAAACACGGGTTTAATTTGACTAAAAATTTGACGAAAAATGCTAGTTTATTATTTTTCACATTCAATAAAAAAATCCAATATTTTTTACTTTTTTTACTGCAATTATATAAACAAATTGAATTTTTTATATCAAAAAAATTAGTCTTACGTACATTTTCACTATCTATATAATTAATTAATCAGAGTTTAAATTACATTAACGACTTTTAATATGTCCATCAAAACTTTATATTATGTCCACGGTAAAAATATATTATAATTGCCATTCATAACAAGTCCCATTTAAATTTAAAAGAAACATTATAATTACGTTTAAAAAAAATGTTAAGACCCAAAAGTAATAATTTAATGTAATCTACAGAATATTTTACAAATAAATCAGTCGCAACACCGAAAAACAAAAATCTACAACACAAATTATTTGGTGTAGAATAATTTAAAATCTTAAAACTGCTCTCCTGAAAAATTTAGTGTTTGGGACATACAACTTTTGGCTTTTTAGCCATCGGTATAGTCTATATGACTATATCTATAGAATACGATATAGTAAACTACGCTTAGGAGAATGTATATTTAAATACGCTTTTGTTTTTAATATTTGTCCACGGGACAATCGCACGTAATGCTGCCGTTTAAACGGTGTATTGTTATTATATTTTATTGTATTATATTATATAATATGATAACTTGATACTACTTGAGTATAATATATTATAGAAAAGTATTGCTAAATTGTTTACGGTGAACTATAACGTACACTGTTAATTATAAAACACACTAGGTACGTCATATTAAATGATGTATCCTATTTATTATTGCATCAGACGAGTACCATGTGATTAATAAACACAACATTGTGATTACTGATCATGATAATTTTTGTAATAAAATAAAAACAATTTTCATTAAAAAAAGTGTTTGGTTACAGAAAAAATGTATTGTCTCCAAATCACATTACATCACCGACGGCGTATTAACGGTGACGATAATTTATACTGCAGATATGCACACGAAAATGTTTGTACAAACTAACGAATACTCGAATACTCGAGACACATAGATATAGCCATATAGGTAGGTACTTATAATATAATGCTATAATTATAGTTACAATGGTAATTAGTAATCACCCGTTCTTATAGGTAAGTATTAATATTATTCGATCTTATGTTTTGTCGTATGGGTATTTTAAGACATAATATAATATCCGTGGACATAATATTCGTGTTTACAAGTGTAAAAAGACTAACATAGTATGTACAGGTCCATATTATATGTATATACCAGAACTTGGGAGTGTGGCCAAATGCAAAATACCTACGCAGTTGTTGCACAAAATATGAAACATTTTGAAAAGCTTTTTTTTTATCGACAGTTTTTAATAATACCATCTGATTCTTTAAGGTGCTGAGTAGCCACGTATTCTCTCCATCCCATACCACACATACTAGTGTATAGCAGCTATGAGTTTTAAAGACAACTTTTATTTCAGGGAAAGTGATCTATTATCATCATAGGTTCTTGGAAACTCATTTCGGAGAGGGAAGGGGTCTTTAAACCTCAAAATAGAATAATAAAAATATTAAGAACGTAGGTAGTAAAATATCAATAAAAAAAAAAAAAATTCAAGAAAAGTATCCACACGTCGCACTACCTCATCGAATCCGCCACTGGATGTAAGTATTGCTACGTTCATTCCATAAGACCAGGATTATAAGCTAGTGTGAAAGTGTTAATAGAGTATTGGTCAGTTAATAGGTAACCAATTGGGCTCAATAGGAAAATATTATAACCAAACCAAAATTACCCGTTCCTCTAGTAGAACATTGTATGTAATATTATTATATCCGTTTAAACAACTGTGTATATTAATAACATATTATATTTACCATCCACTTAACAATTGTGTGTATTCTACATTCCTATATCTTCGTCGTCGTACATCACTAATGTTATTGTTTAATATACTACATACATATATGCGTGTTATGGAAACAAATAATTATTCGATTTTAATTATAAAAACGGATAATCTGTTTATTATAAAGAGCAGGCACCCACCTTATTAGAAATATCTAGCCTCAAATAGTAAAATTATGGAATAAATAAGAAATAAAGTATAATAATCATTTTACGTGATACGAATAATACGGATAAGATGCGCTGAGAACAATTTTCATCTCTATCTACAACTAAATAACCAAAATTCTATAGTCACTGAATTATTATCTATTTTCTTTGTCTATTACTTCGTGTATTCAGTTAGAAAATTGTGAAATTTCCTCCTGGCTCATATTATCTCTAAATTCAAATTATTTTAAGCTAAGGTTACTTTTATGTGTAATAAATCTCTGAAATTATTTATGGCAGCTATTAGTACCACATGACTCATGATAATTAGGCTGTGTAAGTTTCCTCACCACCTTTGGTGAGTTAAAAAACAAAAACATAATATTGGTTAAACACATGGAGCGTTTTTTTTATTGATGTGTCCCCGGCAGGCACAATCCACATTGTAAGCGAGTTAAGGGAAATGTCATGGAATTTATGGAAAATGTACGAACTATCATGCGAACGGCACGTCGACAGAGAACTACACTTCGTTAGCGCACCATACGTTGTCAGCGAACTACAAGTCGTCAAGGCACCATACGTCGTCAGCGAACCGAACGTCTTCAGCGCAACGGCACGTCGTCAGCGATCTGCATGTCGTCAGCGAACCACACGTCGTCGGCTGCAGTGCACCGTAAGTCGTCAGCGAACCACACGTACTTAAGCGACGTACACGTCGTAAACAAACCGTACATACATTAAGTCTATCTACATCCAATAATCATATACGCGAGTGAAACATGGTAACTGACCAAATGAGACAGCAAACGGCTAATGACCTTTGAAAGGAAGGTACTGAGAAATATATACAATCCAAAATTCGACGCAGAATTGCAAACTTTTGAAAGAAGAAAAAATCAAGAATTACAGGAGTTATATAACAGACCAAATATTATATCGTACCTACATAGAAAGCAAACATAGAATGGTTCGGTCTTCGGTGATGTCTGAAGAGCGGATAGACAAGTATAAAAGAAGTTTCAGTTAAAAAAATAAACACAAATGTCCATTAGAAAGACCAAGGACCCGATGGGTGGATGTTATAGCTCAAAATATCAAAAACATAAAAGAAGAGTTAACTTTTGATGACGCAAATGATAGAGCGAAATTGTGAGGTTTTGTGATGGCAGCAATGACACTCAGTGGACCGATCAGATGAAGAAGAAGAAAAAGAAGAAAAAGAAGAAGAAGAATGAGAAATGTCGAATGTCAAATATTTAAAGGGGAACTAATGCTTTTCTGGGAAATATCTAGCCTCAAATTGGAAATGGTACGGAATAAATGAGAAATAAACGATACTATAAAATAAAATAATATTATAATAATTTTACGTGATACGAATAATACGAAGACGATGAGCAGCAAACAATTTTCATCTACAACTAAATCACAGAAAATCTCATCACTGAATTATTATCCGTCACTATAATACAGGTGGCGCTCTATGCGTTAGCTTATCAAAAAAGTGTAAATCTATAATAATAGTACCTACTAAAACATTATTATATTATATTACCAGCTACGCCATCTTGACATTTTACAGCCTGGTGTAAAAAATAAATTAGCGTCTCCTACAGCTAAGGGGGTCTACTGGGAATATGGGTGATAAATTCTCATGAACTTTTTAGATTTTGAGCAAAGAAAAAAAATCTACAGGTTTAAAATAAAGTATATATATTTTTTTTAAATATTGTTTATTAATTTCATGAGCTCTACTCTACTCTACTCTACTCTCTCTACTCTACTCTTCCCGTTAAAATAATCATTGTTTAGATAATTATTGTTGATAAAGTTATGTAGGTACCTACCTATTTTAATTTATTTTTTATTAATTTAAATTACCTTATTCATTTTATTACTATTTATTATTCACTTTTTATTTATATTAAACATGACGTTAAGTATTATTTTATCACGTTTTTATTAATAATAATATAATGTACGGTTTTACATTTTTTATAATAATAATTAAATATTTTGAGGTTTATAGAGAGGCTTCATTATTTGAGATGTTGTGAGGTAAAGATTTACCTATCAAGACTACATAATTTTTCTGTGCCGGAAAGAAAATATTTTTTTTTTTAAATTGGTCTTAAAAGTATCGGCTACTATCATGGCCATACGATATTGTGATCCATGGATTATTTAAATTAAATATAAAAATGTCTGGGTTACATTAAATATTTTATAAATATTATGTAAGCCCAATGGCCTATGCTGCCGAGGGCTCTTTTTAAATAAAAAAAAAAAAAAAAAATATTTTATGTGGGACTAAGGGTTTTAGGATTTATTTTATATGCCATGGTTTTAGGCCCAATAATGTCTATAAATATTTAAATTTAAATTTAAATAGTTTAAGTACTATAACTTAGTATTATTAGGTAGGAATACAATATGCATACTGTATGTCTGTATTATATTATTAGATGGAAAAATAAAGATTATAATTATTATTTATCAAGCGTAGCGATAAAATACATTCTTTATAAATAACTCTATAGTAGGTACAATATTATATTATTATATTGGTCTGCCTAATTGTTAGCATACCTTTCAATAACCTAAAATAACGCCACTGGTTTATACTACAAAGTTAAGAGCATTTTTTAAATTAATTATGCATATTGAAACACAATACATTTTGGAAAAGGAAATATTATTAAATGTATTAACAATTCTCGATCGTTGATAGGTATAAAATTAGTTGTTTGAATTTCAAACAGCATAATAGGTATATTATTATTATTTAATAGGATTTTAAATATAATTAAAATTATTAATTTTTTTTAAAATTATATTAATCAAAAATTTAACAAATTTCAACCACAACATTTTAGCATCCAAGAATTCTATGATCTCTATTGTCCCCCTCCAACTCCACCCTAAATGAGTCCCTGTCTACTACTACAATAAATACTAAAAATACTAGTTTATAAAAGTTTATTATACAGGTGTGTCTCGTGTGTATATACATATATATTTTTATATTTATAAGATATATATATATAATTTTATTATCTTACTTGGTTTAGGGTACCTAGTTAGTAGCTTACTTTGGCTGAGCTGTCCAAGATCCAATTTCTTACTATCACGCCGACCCAAAAACTTTTCGATATTGCTGTTATGAATCCAGAATCATTGAAGTACATAAAACTATTTCGGATCCGTGTTCTGATAAAAAAAAAGCCTTTGCTCATTGAAAACTGCGTTTATTTTTTATTTGTGGGTCTATGAATTTAAAACTATGTAATGGTTTTATATTGAAAATAAAATGAAAAATTTATCCTTCACAAACTAAAAGATAATAAAGAGAGTTAAAAAGAATTTTGGAATACTAAGAAATTACAAATTAAAATATATTTCTTGGAAGTGAAAACTGATGAACCAATATAATTTAAGAGTTTTTTGAACACAATTGAAACAATATAAATATAAATAATAAATAAACAGTGAAAATATTTTGGTTTCTCATATCAATTAAAATACAATTAATAACAGAGATATTATTTGGCCGGCATAGTTATTTATTATAATGTAACATAAGAATAAAATGTTGGTAAACGTTTTAGATTATGTTAGTAGCCAACACTCAATAATAATAACTAATACTATGTAGGTACCTACGTAGATGTACATTGTAACCAGGGCCCTCGTTAGTCTCAGGGTAAATAAAAATTCGTGGGTGCTAAAATTATAGATTAATTTAGTTAGTAGTATAACTGTTATTTTGTTATATTGAAATACGTTAAATATGTGAAAATTAGAATTAATTATTTTGAATGCCTACAGGCTACCTGGGCTATATATTATATTTTAAACACACAATGACATTTTAAAAAGGTTAAATATTCGGTAAAATTGGAGCTATAGGTAAATAATTCACTATATGATATATTTATACCTACTGTATTATGTAAATTGTATTTACCTAGGTATTTTAAATCTGCTATGTAATATAGTTTTATTTAATATTGTATTATAATAGAATAGTTTTAATTAGTTATTATTGTTATGACATTATGACAATGTATACATATTTATTATATTTTTTTACACATCACAGACTGATAATTATAATCATCGGTATTGATATATATATATATATATCGTATGAGGAGCCTTGCAATATATTTCAAAGCTTTTTGACCCAACTAAAAAAAATATTATTGACATAAAGAAAAAAAATTACAAAACTTAAAAATTTCAGCTGGCTCAAAACGAGCCAAAATATTTTGAGGAATTTAGTACAAATTTTTAGCATATAATGATCCCTAGAGACCGGTAGAGACTGATAATACTTAATTTAGGTATAAATATATACAATCGAGACTGGTGCGGTTTACTGATAAATTATTTTTACGAAAATTGGGTTTTGAAAGAGTTCAATCGAATACTTCCTAAGTCCACCTATCATTCTACAACTAATATTAACTATGTTGAGTAGTATATATACATAATATTAACGCAAGTAAAATAGGATCTATAACTACAACTACAGGATTGCATAACTTACGATCTGAAGCCACTTTTTAATTGTTTGACAGCATATCACTTCACGCAACTTAGGTATGTATTATGTGTTGGCTATTTAATGTCGAGGAATTCCATTAATTGAAAACATTACATTAATTTACTATAAACACTATACCTAATAATATATACAAAACGAACTTAAATATAAAGTTAAAAACTTATTGGACACAATTCAAATAATTCACTATGTAAAATAATAATACTGTATGATTTAAATAAACTAATTCTATTCGATCAAACATTTGCACAGTATGTATATATTCGTTGTCATTCGTCAACAATAAACAATATATTATATTATTATTATTATTATTATACTATAGTAACATGTATAGACAGCACAGTATAATATCAATTACGACATAAATTAAACTTCAACCAGCATTATATTAAATCGATACACATAATACTAATATCATTCGTTTTTCTTTATTCAACACTTTCGAATACAGTTTTTTTTTTTTATAATAACTAGTAGACTTGGAGCCACGAAACGATGTTGTAAATTTCAGTTGCAGCAGTTAAAAATCCGAGCTATTTATTTCCTCCAAGACGTCTTGAAAATGTATTGTTTTTTGTGTAATTTAAAACGACTAAGTATCTGTAAACGTTAATGATTTTCAAAAAAATTGTTTTTAAATTAGTCACATATTCTAGTTAAATCTTAAAGTACCTACTCATATGCTATAAAATGATTATTGATTGTTAATGAATATTAATAATCGATATAAATTTCGATGAACATTCTCGTTGTTTGCTCTATAACGACAATCTTGTACTCCTGTCAAATATGTGGAATAGTAGTAAGCGATTTGCCCAGAGTTCAGCGAAAATCTGTAGCATGAGATTGGTAACGGACGGCAACCCGACGGGTGTATCGCTTGCACAAGTTCTATGCACTGCCGTCTGCCAGGCATCGAGCTAAATCCTCTGTGAGGATTGTTTTGTTTAAATTATATATAAGGCATAATTATATAATTATACACTCGTTGTTTGAGTTGATATACCTAACAAATCCAGAAAAAAATTCCTCTAGTAAACACTAAATAGGTACAACAGAAAGCTATTGATACTAATAGTTACATGTAACTTAAATATTATATTGATAATACATTTATATCTTAGTAAATA